AAACATATAGGTTAAAATTACCTGATGCTAATTAATCGATAATATTTAATTAAGGGAGGAGGAGGAGGAGGAGGAGGAGGAGGAGGTAATCATCATTTCACACACACACCTTCAACAACACCCTGACCACTCACCAGTCAACCAATTGCTCCTCTTGTTACAGACAGGGAGCAGTTTATGTATGTATGTATGTATGTATGTATGTATGTGTATGTATGTATGTATGTATGAGTAAGCCAACGCGTGAGGGTGGGTGGCGGAGCTCTCATTCCCCCGCCCTCACCTGCTGACGGACCTCTTTATCAACTAATTCCTCATAACTCACCCAGCGGACGGCCCCCACCCTGCCAATTTGCGGCTGTCAGGTGAGGTTGGGTGGCTCAGACATCACGTTGGCTGACAGGCGGTGAAGGAAGAGTGGTAGTGGTGTGTGTGTGCGCCTTTGGCAGACTCAGTACCCGTGTCTTCAGCTGTAGGGAGCTGCAATTATTTACAAATCCGCACGTATATCGAGCAGTGGTCCTTCCCACCCTGCTATACGGCAGTGAGACATGGGTCACATACAGGAGGCACCTCAAGGCACTTGAAAACTTTCACCAACGTAGTCTACGTTCCATCCTCCGTAGTTACTGACACCAACTGTAGGAGCATCGAGGCTACCATTATCCGCGAACAACTACGCTGGACTGGCCATCCCGCATGGACGACAGTAGACTGCCAAAGCAGCTACTTTACAGTCACCTAACGAATAGTAAACGTAACGCTGGCGGGCAACTGAAGAGAGTATAAGGATAGTCTTAAGACAAACCTGAAAGGGTGCCAAATCGACCCTCACCTGGAGACGATTACTCCACGCCGTAACGTACGGAGGAGCACCACACGAGAAGGTGTCAATGCTTTCGGAGTTAGCCCGACTGCAAACCGAGGCAGACAAACACCAACGCCGGAAAGACGCTGCCGCCGCCCCCCTCCTGTGCAACATCTGTGAACAACTCTGCCGGTCCGTATCGGCCACTTAGTCACCTCAGAGCTCACCAACTTGGTGACATCTTAATAACTCATATTATTGTATCATAGCTGGATGATCGTCATACTCGATTCCGGTGACAGCAAAGTAGTAGTAGTAGTAGTAGTAGTAGTAGTAGTAGTAGTAGTAGTAGTAGTAGTAGTAGTAGTAGTGTGTGTGTGTGTGTGTGTGTGTGTGTGTGTGTGTGTGTGTGTGTGTGAGTGAGTAAAACAGGAAAGGTCATCAGTGCACACATGAACCCTTTCCCTCCCCTACTTAGTTAGGTGTGTGTGTGTGTGTGTGTGTGTGTGTGTGTGTGTGTGTGTGGTGCAGGAAAGGTCATCAGTAGCACATGTTCTACTTAGTTAAGTGTGTGTGTGTGTGTGTGTGTGTGTGTGTGTGTGTGTGTGTGTGGTGCGTGCGTGCGTGTGTGTGTGTGTGTGGTGTGTGTGTGTGTGTGTGTGTGTGTGTGTGTGTGTGTGTGTGTGGATCAGAGGTCAGCCCAGCCACTATGACCACAGAATGTATAAAACCTGATTATACTTCCCAGCAGCGACCCGTACAATTACCGCCCAGGACCCGAATAACTGGTGCCTCTACTGGATTCTGGAAAACTGGAAAGACACAGAGAGATGGCGATAGGTTGCCTTTGTGTGTGTAGGGGGTGGGAGGACTGTGTGGGGGGTTGGGGACTGTGTGTTGGGGGGTGGGGTAAGGGTTGTGTAGTGATGAGGGAGGGATTCTCTCTCTCTCTCTCTCTCTCTCTCTCTCTCTCTCTCTCTCTCTCTCTCTCTCTCTCTCCCCCCCATACTCCTATCAGATTACCATTACCATCCTCCCCTTCCACCCCCACCTCCTCCCCCCCCTCCTACCACCACCCCGTCAGAGGAGCAGATGTGTATAATGAATGCAGAGGTTGAGAACTTGAACACACTTGGTGGGTGGGTGGGTCAGTGGGTTGGTGGGTGGGTGGGTCGGTTGGTGGGTGGATGGGTGGGTGGGTGGGTGGTGGGGTGGGTGGGTGGTGGTGGGTGGGTGGAGTTGGTGGATGGATGGGTGGGTGGGTGGGTGGGTGGGTGGGTGGGTGGGTGGGTGGTGGAGGTGGTGGGTGGTGGGTGGTGGGTTGGGAAGGGTAGTTGGTTGAGTGGTGGGTTGATGAGATAAAGATCACAGGAAGATAAAGAAGAGCAACAAAAACAGCAACAACAATAACAATAATAACAAAACAATAACAAATAAACACAATAACAAAAACAAAATAACAAAACAATAAAAATATCCAAATCTACAAAAAAAAAATCAGAGACCCAAACACCACGAGGGTTAGGTTAGGTTAGGTTAGGATAGGTTAGGATTGGGTTAGGTTAGGTTAGGTTGGGTTGGGAGGTTGGGTTTAGGTTAGGTTAGGTTGGGTTGGGAGTTAGGTTGGGTTGGGTTGGGATTGGGATTGGGTTGGGTTGGGTTGGGATTGGGTTGGGTTGGGTTGAGTTGAGGTTGGGTTGGGTTGGGTTGGGTTAGGTTGGGTTGGGTTGGGTTGGGTTAGTTGGGTTAGGTTGGGTTGGGTTGGAGGTTGGGTTGGGTTGGGTTGGGTTGGGTTGGGTTGGGTTGGGTTGGGTTGGGTTGGGTTGGGTTGGGTTGGGTTGGGTTGGGTTGGGTTGGGTTGGGTTGGGTTGGGTTAGGTTGGGTTGGGTTGGGTTGGGATGGGATTGGGTTGGTTGGGTTGGGTTAGGTTGGGTTGGGTTAGGTTGGGATTGGGTTGGGTTGGGTTAGGTTGGGTTGGGTTGGGTTGGGTTTGGGTTGGGTTGGGTTAGGATTGGGTTGGGTTGGGTTGGGTTGGGTTAGGTTGGGATTGGGTTGGGTTAGGTTGGGGTTAGGTTGGGTTGGGTTGGGTTGGGTTGGGTTGGGTTGGGTTAGGTTGGGTTGGGTTTGGTTGGGTTGGGATGGGTTGGGTTGGGTTGGGTTGGGTTTGGTTGGGTTGGGTTGGGTTGGGTTGGGTTGGGTTGGGTTAGGTTGGGTTGGGTTGGGTTGGGTTGGGTTGGGTTGGGTTAGGTTGGGTTGGGTTGGGTTGGGTTGGGTTGGGTTGGGTTGGGTTGGGTTGGTTGGGTTGGGTTGGGTTAGGTTGGTTGGTTGGGATGGGTTGGGTTGGGTTGGGTTGGGTTGGGTTGGGTTGGGTTGGGTTGGGTTAGGATGGGATTGGGATTGGGTTGGGTTGGGATTGGGTTGGGTTGGGATGGGTTGGGTTGGGTTGGGTTGGGTTAGGTTGGGTTGGGTTGGGTTGGGTTGGGTTGGGATAGGTTGGGTTGGGTTGGTTGGTTGGGTGGGTTGGGTTGGGATGGGTTGGGTTGGGATGGGATGGGATGAGGCTGGGTTGGGTTGGGTTAAGTTAAGTTAGGTTGGGTTAGGATGAGGCTAGGTTGGGTTTGGGTTAAGTTAGAGTTGGGTTGGTTGGGATGGGCTGGGTTGGTTGGGTTAGGTTAAGTTAAGTTAAGTTAGGATGGGTTGGATAGGATGGGTTAGGTTGGGTTGGGTTGGGTTATAAGGACGTGGGATATATAAGCCCTGATCCTCGAGGTGTTCCGTGAGCAGATGCATTAACCAGCGGGGATGGATCGAATTAAGCACTGGACAGAGACATGACAAACTGTAGTAATGACCCCCACTTGATAATACTGCTGGTTAGGTTTAGGTTAGGGTTAGGTTGGGGTTTAGGTTAGGTTTAGGTTAGGTTTAGGTTGGGTTTGAGTTGGGGTTTTAGGTTGGGTTTGGGTTAGGGTTAGTTGAGGGTTTGGGTTAGGTTTAGGTTGGGTTTAGGTTGAGGTTTGGGTTAGGTTTAGGTTAGGTTTAGGTTGGGTTTGGTTAGGGTTGGGTTGGGTTTAGGTTGGTTTGGTTGGGGTTTGAGTTGGGTTTGGGTTGGGGTTTAGGTTGGGTTTGGGTTGGGTTTAGGTTGGGTTTAGGTTAGGTTTAGGTTGGGTTTAGGTTGGGTTGGGTTTAGGTTGGGTTTGGGTTGGGTTTTAGGTTAGGGTTTTGGGTTTAGGGTTTGGGTTGGGTTAGGTTGGACAAGAATAGAGGGACAATTCTTACCATTTTCTATTATTGTTTTACTTATTCCTCACCCTCCCCCCCCTTTGGCCTGCTATCCCTGTGGGCTTATCCTCCCTTTGTCCTTATCTTCTCCTTTATCCATACCCTCCCTTTTGCCCTTACCCATCCCCTTACCCTAACCCCGTGTCCCTTTCAGCATTCCCTCCTCTTGTTAACTTTTTGACCACTAGGGGCGCTTGGGACTAGTTGTGGGTTGTGCCTGAAGGTGGCGGTGAAGGAGGAGGGAAGGAGGTGGCGTAAGGAAGGAGAGGGAGAAGGGTTGGAAGAAGGAGGGTTGGAGGAGAAGGAGGGGTTGGAGGAGGAGGAGGAGGAGGAAGGAGGGGTTGGAGGAGGAGGAGGGGTTGGAGGAGGAGGAAGAAAGAAGAGGGTTGGAGAAGGAGGAGGAGAAGAAAAGGAGGGGTTGGAGGAGGAGGAGGAAGGAGGTTGGAGGAGGAGGAGAAGAAGGAGGTTGGAGGAGGAGGAGGGTTTGGAGGAGGAGGAGGAAAGGAGGGTTGGAGGAGGAGGAAGAGGTTGGAGGAGGAGGAAGATGAGGAGGTGTTGGAAGGAGGAGGAAGAAAGGAGGGTTGGAGGAGGAGGAGGAGGAAGAGAAGCAGGGGTTGGAGGAGGAGGAGGAAGAGGAGGGGTTGGAGGAGGAGGAGGAAGAGAAGGAGGGTTGGAGGAGGAGGAGGAAGAGGAGGAGGAGGAGGGTTACAAGGGAAGAAGAAGGGGAGCTGAGAGAGGAGGAGGAGGTGTTGGAAGAAGAGGAGCAGGAAGAGGGTTTGGAAAAGAAGAAGGAAGAGGAGGAGGAGGGGGTGTAAGAGGAAGAGGAGGAGCAAGAGGTGGAAGAGGAGGAGAATCAGGAGGCAAAAGGTACTCACACTATGTAAATTATTTCACCTTTTTTGTTTCTCAGGTGGACGGTCGTCGTCGTCATGAATATTCTGTAACAGGTGAGAGAAAGGACTCGGCAAGACGCAGGACCACTTCACCTGTCTTGTTAGCCTCAGGTGAGCAGACTTCGTTGACTCTATCTTTTTCTTCTTCTGCTTCTGCTATTATTAGAGCTTCTGTTTCTGCTGTTATTGGTGCCTACTTCTGCTGGTGTTGGCGATGTTGCTTCAAGGTGAGGCGGGTCCCTTCCTCCTTCCCCTTCACCTGCTGAACAACAGGTGTCAGTGGACCCATCTCATTGGTTGAATCGTTCTGTTATATTTCCTATTCAAACATACCTGATTGGCTAACACGATGAGTTTCTTCCATTGTGATTGGCTGAGTAAATAACCAATGAGAGAGAAGGTTATTCCTAAAGGTTTGTCTTATTAGTTGAGTCGGTGTTTTACTTTTAAAATATCTCCCTTTATTGTGATTGGATGGATAATTTACCAATGATAAAGTGAGTTGTTCAAATAGATTCATCTCATTGGTTGTAGTCGTTCCATTCTTATCGTACATAAGTCTGATTGGTTCTGAGTTATTTACGACCGTCAGTGATTGGTTGGATAATTCTCAATAGTATACTGCCCGTGTCTTATAAATCCCAAATACGACTCATCGACTGGACTTGAACGACCTGCCACCAAACTAAGGTCGTTTTGAGGGGTCTTACTCGACGACCTGCCACCAAACTAAGGTCGTTTTGAGGGGTCCTACATACTCGACGACCTGCCACCAAACTAAGGTCGTTTTGAGGGTCTTACATACTCGACGACCTGCCACCAAACTAAGGTCGTTTTGAGGGGTCTTACATACTCGACGACCTGCCACCAAACTAAGGTCGTTTTGAGGGTCTTACATACTCGACGACCTGCCACCAAACTAAGGTCGTTTTGAGGGGTCTTACATACTCGACGACAGGCCACCAAACTAAGGTCGTTTGAGGGTCTTACATACTCGACGAGTCTTATTAAATCCCGTTTGTACTCTCAAGGTAAATTATACAGCGTGTCTATATAGAAGAATTATTACCTTCATGAATTAATTAACGAACAAACAGACAACCGGACCTCATACTCGAACTTACATATTGAAGTGTTAAGTTCAAGTTTTACCCACAAGGACTGTACTCATGGCTTAATTCTAGAACTTTTTCTTTCATTAATCGTCATTGTGGGCGTAGGATTTTCTATGATTCGTGAATATCATCGTGGGCGTGGATGCGGATCTGAGCGTGGGCGTAGGCATGAAAGTAGTCGTGGGCGTAGGCGTGAGCAGGTTAGTCCAGGTGGCGCCGTGGACATAATTAAGAGGCAGTGAACTCAGCAGTGTCGTATGATAATGTGGGCATTGGTGTCGTGGGCGTGGGCGACTACAAATAAGCACAGGTATGTTACTGTGGGGCAGGGACGGTTACGGGGTGGGTAGAAGTGGGTTGTGATCGTGGGCATAGCTGTAAGTTGAAGCGTAAAGAGGAGCTAGTGTGTGGGCGTGGGCGTGGTCGTGGGCGTGTACATGCAGGCACAGGTGTAATAATAAGGAGGCAATGACCTCAGCAGTGTTGTATGGTAATGTGGGGCGGGTCCCCCCCTTATACCACTCCAGGCTAAAGGGGCATATCTACCTCCCTCCTTCCTTCGTGTGTGTGTGTGTGTATATAATAATAATAATAATAATAATAATTAACGGTTTATTTAGAAGCTTGGCAGGCAGAAGGCTGAAAATATACAGTTACATATTTGGGGAATGGGTTACAATTACAAATAATATACAAGTAACATAAGTGATACAAATAAGATATATAATAACTAGATGGGAAAAAGCTCAAACTACAGTTCATTTCAACATAGTGACAGTGCAAGGAGTAGTGTTTACCGGGGTGAATACACTGATTTATTACAAGTTATTGATAATTTTACAATGGTTGGGACTGGGCTGTTCTTATAGCGATCAGTTCGTGCACGTATGGGGCTGATGCGGTTGTGGTGTCGAACAGCAATTCTCGGACGGGATCTCAGGTGGTAGTGGAGCCGGTGTCGGGGATGGTGTAGAGATTTACCAAATTTAGATGAGGTCGTGGTGATGGTCAGTGAGTCGAAAGGTCAGTGTGTGTGTGTGTGTGTGTGTGTGTGTGTTAATAAATAATCATAGATAATAATTAACGGTTTATTGAAAGAGCATGGCAGCGGAAGGCTGAAAATATACAATTACATATTTGGGGAATGTGTCTTTGATTTACAAATGATATGCAGGTATAGGTGATACAATGACCAGGGAAGGGTAGGTTTAAATGTATACTATACAAACAGTAGGAGCGTTAAAATGACTTGCTGGGGTGGTTGTATGTACCGAGAATGTGGACGTCATAGCATCACGAAACTTGGATGAATCTGGCGAGCAAAAATTTTTTATCAGTACCACACAGAAGGGTACAACCTTTTTCACAAGTACAGGAAGGTAGGAAGGGGATGCACTCTTCGTCAAGGATACATTAAAATGTTGTATTAATAATTCAATAAGGTGAAATAAGACGAGTTGTATGTATGGGTAGAAATCACGGAAGGAAGAAAAACTAATTATGGGAGTGATTTACAGGCCCCAAGTCTTGGAAAGAATCAGCTCAGCCCATAGGGCAGGAAATGAGTAGGGCATTATGGGGATTCAACTTCAGAAATATTGACTGGGACAACATTAGGGGCTATGAATCTGAAGACTTCTAGATGCAGTACAGGAAAATTTTTTAAACAACTAATAACAGAACCTACTGATAATAGATCTAGTTTTAACAAATAAAAATATTATCAGAGATATCACAGCAGGGGAAGAACTAGATAACAGTGATCACAAAGAAATCGGGTTCATCCTAAATTGGGAAACAAAAAACAATGACAATATGGTCAGAGTCCCAAACTTTCGGTTGGCGGATTATCAGGGGTTAAGAAGGTAGCTAGGTGAGGTCACCTGGGAACAGTCATGTCAGTCCCCAGAAGGAAGGGGTGAGGTCATAGATGACACAACAATTGATCATGACTATAATATATTCACTAGTATACTACATAAAGCACAAGAACAAAATATACCATACAGAAAAATTAGGTCAAATAAGAATGAGCCAAGGTGGATGACCAGAAAACTTAAACATGACATAGGAATAAAGAAAGGAATAGTTATATAAAAAATTAAAGGGAGGGGAGGAGCAGCTCAGAAATAGGTATAATGAACTATCTAGGAATGTTAAGAAAAATGTAAGGAAAGCAAGGAGAGACTATAAAATCAAAATAGCAAGAGAATCCAAGGCGCATCCCAAGGGATTTTTCCAGGTATATAGAACAAAGGTCAAGGACATAGTTGGGCCTTTAAAGTCAGGAGCGGAGAAGTGATAAATGGCAGTGAAGAAATAAGCAAAGCATTGAACAGCTACTTCTTATCAGTTTTCACAGTAGAAATTCACGATGAAATTCCAGAGGTGGAACTGATATTTAAGGGAAAGGAAGAAGAGAAATTAAAGAATATCACTATCAGAAAAGAGGATGTTCTTAAGAAGATAAATAAACTAAAGAAGACAAAATCCCCAGGGCCGGATAAAATTTTCCCTCGAATCTTGAAAGAGTGTAGGGAACAGATTAGCGGACCCCTCGTCAACTTATTTACAAAATCATTAGACACCTGAGTTGTGCCAGACTTGTGGAAACAGGCAAATGTAGTACCCATATTCAAAATGGGAGAAAGAGCATCAGCGTCAAATTACCGACCGATCAGTTTGACGTCTGTAGTGGGGAAATTTCTTGAATCAATTATAGCAGATAGCATCCGATCGCATCTCGAGAAAAGGAAATTAATCTACGACTCTCAACATGGGTTTACGAAGGCAAAATCTTGTCTAACAAATCTGCTGACGTTTTTAAGGAAAGTCCTCGAGGTAGTAGATAATGACGAAAATTACGATGTTATTTACTTAGACTTTAGCAAAGTGTTTGATAGAGTACTGCATCAGAGGCTTCTGAGAAAAATTAAGGCTCATGGTATCAAGGGGAAAGTTTTTTATTGGATAATATCATGGCTCACCGATAGCATGCAGAGTGGGCCGTTAACCAGTGGGGTTCCCCGAGGGAGTAATGCTTGTTCATTAATCTCATAAACGATCTAGATACTGGGATTAGCAGTGACATAACAAATTGCGGATGACACAAAATAAGGGCGGCAGATTAATTCAGGGCAGGATGCAAATGCACTACAGGAGGATTTAAATAAACTGCAGGGGTGGTCAGAAAATGTGGGAAATTCAACACCAGCAAGTGCAGCGTACTTATATTGGAAGAACAAATACTGTCAATGTATACAGCCTTAACAACATCAATAAGTCGACTTGTGGAAGAGACTTGGGTGCATAATGAAAACAGTGCGTTAATGTTCGAAATAAGGCAAACAGGGTATTAGGTTTTATATCTAGAAGTTATAGAGTGCAGGTGAGGGTCTTATACGCTATATCTTGCGCTAGTCAGGCCACACCTCGATTATGCGGTTCAGTTCTGGTGCCCTTATTATAGAATGGATATCAATTCACTAAGTCGGTGACGAAGGACGAAAATGATTCTGGACTTAGGAAACCTTCCATATCAGGATAGGTTAAAGAAACTAAACTTGCATTCCTAGAAAGACGAAGAGTGCAGGGAGATATGATAGTATTTAAGTGGGTGAATCAATAAAGGGGATATAGATAAAGTTCTTATAATATCCGAGCAGAGCAGGATAGGACTCGGAGCAACGGATTTAAGTTGGATAAGTTTAGGTTTAGGAGGAGACAGGAAGGAACTGGTTCACAAATAGGGTGGTGGACGAGTGGAAAAAGCAGCAACGTAGTAAGTGCTGGAACTCTGGAAAGTTTCAAAAGGAGACTAGATAGATTCATGGATGATAGAGAGTGGTAGTAACTCTCGACAGGAGCTGCCATGCACAGGCTAACCGGCCTATTGCAGACTCCTTATGTTCTTATGATGTAAACGCACCTGAGGCTCCCTGATTAGTGGCTCTTTCTCTCATCTCTTATCTTATCTCTCTCTTCCTTCCTTCTATCTCCTCTTATTATTATCCTTATGGTAATTACTCCCCTACTAACGAGTGATGGTCAATATGCCCCTTTGGTCTCTAGTAGTTATAGCAGCTGATTGGGAGGTGTGTCGGATACGCCCCTTTAGTACTCAAGAGTGTTAGTATCAGCTGGAGGCATAGAATCCAACGCCTCATCCTCCTCATCCTCCTCCTCATCCTCCTCCTCATTCTCATCTTCCTCCTCCTCCTCCTCCAGTGCTAATTGTCCCAGAGTCAACAAACGTCTATAATGATATGCCCACTAGGTCGAAAATCCCATTGAATACTCACCTTCATTCTCGACCATAGCCTCAGGGTGTTTGTGTTCCTGTAGTGATGATCTCTTAACACGGGTTGACACAATAGACTGGTGTGTGTGTGTGTGTGTGTGTGTGTGTGTGTGTGTGTGTGTGTGTGTGTGTGTGTGTGTGTGTGTGTGTGTGTGTGTGTGTAAAGTCGAGAAAGGGCATAGAACCTACTTACCTTATAAGCAATTCAATCCCACCCACTCTTACACCCTCTCTTACACCCACTTACCACCTACCCACGAAACCTAACTAAAGTACCCCCCCCTCTCCTCCCCTCGTGCCCAAGAGCTATAAATATATTGCATCAAAAAGTGGACCTCCGTGGACCTCCGTGGGACCCCCGTGGACCCCGTGGACCTCCGTGGACCCCGTGGACCTCCGTGGACCCGTGGACCTCCGTGGACCTCCGTGGACCCCATGGGACCCCGTGGATCCCCGTGGACCTCCGTTGACCCCCGTGGATCCTGGACCCCCGTGGACCCCGTGGACGTCCGTGGACCGTGGACCCGTGGACCGTGGACCTCCGTGGACCCCGTGGACCCCGTGGACCCCGGTGGACGCCCTGAGAAAATTAGAACTTAACTCGTATATAAATGATCAGTCTGTCTCGGGCAATTTTGAGCCGTTAGCCATATAGTTATTGTTGAGGAGATAATGGTAGAGCTGGTGGTCTGAGGAGACAGGGGAGACCTAGAGGAGGGGGAGACCTGGCGAGAATTCGGTGTGTATGAATGAATGGATCATTTGGACCCTCCCTAAACCCCTCCCCTCACCTCTCTCTCCACCCTCCTCCTCCTCCTCCCTACCTCCTCCACTTCCCTCACCCCTCCCTAAACCCCTCCTAACCCCCTCCCTAACCCCTCCCTAAGCCCCTCCTAAACCCCTCCTTAGCCCCTCCTCAACCTCCCTTAACCCCTCCCCACCTCCCCCACCCCCCCCCCCCGTGAGGATTTGGGTAGATATATGATATAATTTTTTTTTGGAATGGAGGTCGTGTTCGCCAACCCTCAGACGATAAAATATAGAGATGTTAATTTAATATCCAGGCTAATCGCTCTCTCTCTCTCTCTCTCTCTCTCTCTCTCTCTCTCTCTCTCTCTCTCTCACCAATTAATAACAAGCTGGCAACATCGTTCAATTGAAGACGAATAAAAATAATAAAAAAAATTCTCAATATATTCTCAATAAATTGTGGATACATTTGGTCGTCTGCTTCAATAAGTTTTGTTGCCTGGAGGTGGAACTTGTTGTGGCTGTGGTGAGTTCTTTTCTTCCTCCCTCTCCTCTCCATCCCTCAATCCCTACCACCTCTTCTCTCTCTCTCTCTCTCTCTCCCTCCCTTCCTCTCTCTCCTCCCTCAATCCCTCACTTCTTCTCTCTCTCTCTCTCTCTCTCTCTCTCCCTCCCTTCCTCTCTCCATCCCTCAATCCCTACCCACTTCTCTCTCCCTCTCCCTCTCTCTCTCCATCCCTCAATCCCTCCCTTCTTCTCTCTCTCTCTCTCTCTCTCCTCTCTCTCTCTCCTCTCTCTCTCTCTCTCTCTCTCTCTCTCTCCTCCTCTCTCCTCCCATCCTCAATCTACTTCTTCTCTCTCTCTCTCTCCCTCTCTGTCCTCTCTCTCTCTCCCTCTTCCTCCATCTCATCCCTACCACTCTCTCCCCTCCCTCCCTCCCTCCCTCTCTCTCTCCTCCCTCCTCCCTCCCTCCCTCCTCCCCTCCCTCCCTCTCTCTCCATCCCTCAATCCCCCTACCTCTCTCTCTCTCTCTCTCTCTCTCTCTCTCTCTCTCTCTCTCTCTCTCTCTCTCTCTCTCTCTCTCTCTCTCTCCCTCTCTCTCTCTCCATCCCTCAATCCCTACTTCTCTCTCTCTCTTTCTGTCCCTCTCTCTCTCTCTCCTCTCTTCCTCCATCCCTCAATCCCTACCCTCTCTCTCTCTCTCTCTCTCTCTCTCTCTCTCTCTCTCTCTCTCTCTCTCCATCCTCCATCCCCACCCTCCCTCTCTCCTCCTCCTCTCTCATCCCCACTCCCTCTCTCCCTCCCCCTCTCTCTCTCCTCCCCACTCCCTCTCTCCCTCCCTCCTCTCTCTCCATCCCTACCCTCCCTCTCCCTCCTCCCTCTCTCTCTCCCTCCCTACCTCCTCTCTCCTCCTCCTCCTCTCTCTCTCCATCCCTACCCTCCTCTCTCCTCCCTCCTCTCTCTCCCTCCCTCCCTCCCTCTCCCTCCCTCCTCTCTCTCTCTCCATCCCCCCACTCCTCTCTCCTCTCTCTCTCTCTCTCCATCCCTCCCTCCCTCTCTCTCCTCTCTCTCTCTCTCCCTCCCCTCTCCCCTCCCTCCTCTCTCTCTCCATCCCTCCCCTCCCTCTCTCCTCCCTCCCTTCTCTCTCCATCCCTACCCTCTCCCTCCCCTCCTCTCTCTCTCCATCCCTACTCCCTCTCTCCTTCCTCCTCTCTCTCTCCATCCCTACCACTCTCCCTCCCTCCCTCTCTTCTCCATCCCTACCCTCCCTCTCTCCCTCCCTCTTCTCTCTCCATCCCCTCTCCCTCTCCCCTCTCCCTCTCTCTCTCCTCCCCTTCTCTCCCTCCCCTCTCTCCCTCCATCCTCCTCTCTCCCTCCCTCTCCTCTCTCCATCCCTACCCTCCCTCTCCCTCCCTCCTCTCTCTCCTCCCTCTCCCTCCCCCTCTCTCTCTCCATCCCTACCCTCCTCTCTCTCCCTCTCTCTCTCTCTCCATCCCTCTCTCCCTCCTCTCTCTCTCTCCATCCCTACCACCTCCCCTCCCTCTCTCTCTCTCTCCTCCCTCTCCTCCCCTCCCTCCCTCTCTCTCTCCCTCCCCTCCCTCTCTCCCTCCCTCCTCCTCTCTCTCCATCCCTACCTCCCTCTCCCCCCTCCCTCTCTCTCCATCCCTACCCTCCTCTCTCCCTCCCCTCTCTCTCCATCCCCTACCCTCCCTCTCTCTCCTCCCTCTCTCTCTCCATCCCTATCCCTCCCTCTCTCTCCCTCCCTCCTCTCTCTCTTCATCCCTCCCTCCCTCTCTCTCTCTCTCCCATCCCCTCTCTCTCCTCCTCCTCTCTCTCTCCATCCCTACCCTCCCTCTCCCTCCCTCCCTCTCTCCATCCCCTACCACTCCTCTCTCCCCTCTCTCTCTCCATCCCTACTCCTCTCTCCTCCCTCTCTCTCTCTCTCCTCCCTACCCTCCTCTCTCCTCTCTCTCTCTCTCCTCCTCTCTCTCCTCCTCTCTCTCTCTCCATCACCTCCCTCTCCCCTCCCTCCCTCTCTCCATCCCACCTTCTCCCTCCCCTCTCTCTCCATCCCCTCCCCTCCTCTCTCCTCCTCCCCTCTCTCTCTCTCCTCCCTACCACTCCTCTCCCTCCCTCTCTCTCTCCATCCTACCCTCTCTCCCCTCCCCTCTCTCCCTCTCCCTCTCCCCTCCCTCCCTCCTCTCTCTCTCATTCCCTACTCCCTCTCTCTCCCTCCCTGCCTCTCCTCCCTCTCCCTCTCTCCCTCCTCTCTCTCTTGCTAACTCCTCACATTATGTATACAGTATTATGTATTTGTATATTGTTTTATGGTTATTCATATGTGTGTTTTGTTTTTATGTATGTAATTTAGAAAATTGTGTTTCATTGAATATTTGAATAGGTTTGGTTAAGTTAGGTTCGTTACGTTACGTTTGGTTACGTTTGGTTGCGTTAGGTTAGGTTGGTGGTTACGTTACGTTAGGTACGTTTGGTTACGTTAGGTTGGGGTAGGTTGGGTTACGTTAGTTTCGTTTGGTTACGTTAGGTTAGGTTAGGTTAGGTTACGTTGTGTTACGTTAGGTTGTGTTAGGTTAGGTTATGTGTGTATTTTTCTGTATATATTTTAGTATAAACTCTCCTCTGATTGACTCCTTAGATATATCAGTATTCGACTCTGGTCAATCTTGAAGTAATGGAGGGTGGTGTGGCAGCGTGCCCTCAGTAAAATAGCACCTCTCCTCCTCTCCTCCCCCCACCTCCTACTCCTCCTCCTCCTCCTGCCACCTCCTCCTCCCTCTCCCCTCCTCTGCTCCTCCTCCTCCTCCCCTCCCTCCTCCGCCCTCCTCCTCCTCCCTCTCCTCCGCCCTCCTCCTCCTCCCTCCCCCCCTCCTCCCCCCCCTCTCTCCTCCTCCCTCTCCCTCCCTCCGCCACTACTCTTAAAAACTTACTCTTAGTTAACCCAGGCAAGAGACAGGGTTACCAACCTTTTGAATCCTAACTTTTTATAAACATTATATTACTACACTACTTCTAAATAATAATACAATAATAATTAAAATCCACATATAATTTGTTTATATTATTAATACTACTTGTTAATATATATAAATTACTGATATTCGGTTTGATTAGATACCTCATACGTCGGAGAGGTTGGTACACCTGTCAATGGGAGTCGCCTAACAACACGTCTTACTTAGGTGATAAGCAGATAACAGGTGACTCAGGTGGTGGTCAAGGAGGCGCCAGGTGACCAAGAGGCGTCTGGCTCTCCCCAAAGTCAGGTTATTCATCCTCGTATCTATTAGGCTCACCTGCACCTACCTACCCCACCTGGACTCACCTGATCTCTCCTTACCTCCTACGCTCCACACACCCTCCCCTGCCCTTAGACTCACCTATGCCCCCCTAGACTCACCTACATCCTCCTTACTAGACCCACCAACATCCTCCCTACACCTCTTAGAACCACCTACATCCTCCCTACACCCCCTACACTCACCTACCTCCCTACCTCTTGTAATCACTACCTCCTTCCCCCCTATGCCCTACCTACCCTTCCCCTACACCCCACCTACACTCCTTCCATACACCCCTAAGACCCACTTATCCACTCCCCATACCCACTGGACTCACCTCACCCCTAGACCCCACATACACCCTCTCAAACCCCTAGACACCCTCCTTTCTCACCCACCTACCTCTTCCCACACCCTAAGACCTACTATCCACTCCCCTGCCCACTGGACCCCTACACCCCCTAGACCCACCTACCTCTCCAACACCCTAGACCACCTACCTCTCTACACCCTAGACCCTACCTCCCTCCCTACCCCTAGATTTACCTAACCCTCCCTTACACTAGCCCACCCCTCCCTACACCCCTAGATTTCTTCCTCTACCCCCCTACACCTCCCTCCTCAAAGACACGAAAAAACAGAAACTTTAAAACAAAACAAAAAAAACTCAAAACTGAACAGAAAAAATAAAAATAAAATAAAATAAAAAACCCCTTAAAATATACACAAATATACGTGTAAAAACGACATACAATAATTAAAAAAAAACGAGAAATTAATTAATCAACACAAATAAAAAGAAAAAAAAAGAAAAAAAGAAACTAGAATTTAAGGGGGTACTTGAGGAAAAGAATTATCCTTATGTAAACAGTAGGAGTAAGTCTGTGTGGGTGGTTTAAGTGATGGGTAGTGATGGAAACTCAGGCTGGGTGATAATTTATGTTTCTGGAACCACACTCGTCGGATCTGCTTCGTTGGCTTGTGGCAGGCTGACGGTGTGAGGAGAAGAGAGTGGGTGATGGAGGTGATGAGAGTGAAGGGAAGAATGTG